AAAAAAACCAATCAAATACCAATGTATTCATAAACAATCACACCCTAAGCAAACCATGGCTGAATAAATAGTTTCTTTTTTTCGGATTGAGGGTCATAATCTTTTTTATTGAATAATCATTTTTTTCTTATTACGCATGTCATCAGGGCTCTTCATCTAAGGTTTGAGAAAGGTATGGTAGGCCTTTCCTTCTGTGACTTTGTGGGGACAAGGATGGAAAAGGCACTAATGGCCTTGTACAGACTAAAAGAATGGCCCCGACGTTTCAAGGTACCATTTCCTATTTTACCCTTTTCCTGGTTAAACAATTGTCCTGAAGGATAATACACAGAGTTAAACTACAATCTGTAAACCTGTTTATAGTAGTCTAATTACAACAGAATGTAGTTCTCTTTCACTCAAAGTTTGGTTTTTCTCTTCATGTAACCTTTTATGCCTTTTTGTTGTTCTTTTTTTGCAGGATGGGTCTCATCTTTGGGCCTTGGCACTTCAGAAGCGCAAGGAAGGCCGGTGCCCTCTCGAGCCAGGCGAGGTAGCCGTGATGCTTCGGGCAATGGGCTATCCTAAAGAGACCCAAATATACGTTGCATCTGGACAGGTTTATGGTGGCCAAAACCGCATGGCACCACTGAGAAACATGTTCCCCAATCTTGTTAGTCCATTCGCTCTTCTCTATACTTGAGATTCTCCTCATTATCATAAAGAATGATAGGTTATTTAGAGCTTAATTCGCGTATGAATACAAAGCGAATAATGATTAAAGTTATGTGAAAATTAAAAATAGTAGCATAATGATTTCGTAGTAGTTAAAAATGTGCGAGTGTGTGCAACTGGAAAGTTTTAAGAAAAATCGTGCATTAGTGGTTGGTCGTATTTTTGAAAGTGTGTGAATAAGCTTGACATGAGAATAAGTTTCGAATTACTGAAAGATGGACTATCTTAAATTTCTTATATCTTTTTCCAGATAAACTATTCTTTACTCGAAATGAAAATGAAAAAGTTATTGCTATGTTTGGTAAAATAACTTATAAGCTTCTTGTATTCAAATAAGTTTCGCTTTGTTTGGTAGGACGAGTTTTTTTTAAAAAGCTCAGGCTTATTTTATAAGCTTTTTTTGGTAGCTTTTCAGATAAGCTCGTTGAAATTTGCTTACATCTAATTTTACCCAACACTTTTATCATATAAACCAGATTTTCAACAATAAAGTCATAAGCTATCAGATGTAAACTCAAAAATTCATTTAAAAGCTATAAGCTAGCTTATCAGGTATCAACTAGTTTATGAACTAGGCTTGCCATACATAGCCTATATCCAATCACGCTTTCACAGTTACAAAACCCCATTCTTGACGATTTCCTTAACAATTTATTACAGGTCACGAAGGAGGAATTAACCACCAAATTTGAGTTGGATGGCTTCAAAAAGCACGTGACAAGCCTAGCAGCTCTCGACTTCTTAGTCTGTTTGAAATCCGACGTTTTTGTAATGACGCACGGTGGCAACTTCGCCAAATTGATAATCGGAAACCGCAGATATCTGGGCCACCGGCAGAAATCCATAAAGCCTGATAAGGGTCTCATGTCCAAATCCTTAGGGGACCCCTACATGGGCTGGGCCACGTTTGTGGAGGATGCAATCGCGACCCATGAGACACGAACCGGATTACCGGAAGAAACTTTTCCTAACTATGACATCTGGGAGAATCCATTGACCCCTTGCATGTGTAAAACATGATTCTCTCTCTCTCTCTCTCTTTTTTTTTTTTTNNTCTCTCTCTCTCTTTTTTTTTTCTTTTATATATAATTTTCTGATGGTTTTAGCTGAGGAGAGGGAAAAGCTATTATACTTTGCAGGTCATGAAAATTTTTAAGTTGGTCTGAAAATATTCTTTTCTTTTTGTTTTTTTAATTTTCTTCTTGTGTTGGTAGTTGTTGTTGTTGTTTTTTTTTTTTTTT